GTGATCCATCCGTCTCCCAAACTGCTGGGACTACAGGTGTGAACCACCACCCTGGCAACCTAATTTTTTTTGTTTGTTTGTTTGAGACAGAGTTTCGCTCTTGTTACCCAGGCTGGAGTGCAATGGCGCGATCTCGGCTCACCGCAACCTCCGCCTCCTGGGTTCAGGCAATTCTCCTGCCTCAACCTCCTCAGTAGCTGGGATTACAGGCACACACCACCATGCCCAGCTAATGTTTTTGTATTTTTAGTAGAGACGGGGTTTCACCATGTTGACCAGGATGGTCTCGATCTCTTGACCTCGTGATCCACCCGCCTCGGCCTCCCAAAGTGCTGGGATTACAGGCTTGAGCCACCGCGCCCGGCCTAATTTTTTTTTTTTTAATCCACTCTTGTGCCCAGCCAGGTGAAACTTTTCAAAATAAGATGTCCACAAGACCTATTCACTCTTCTCCCAAAGAACTTGTTTGAGTCTTCAGGAAATCCAGGAAGATGGCTCCCCTTGCAACAGAATTACATTTTCACCTTTTGCAAAACAATGTTACATTTTTGCAAGTCAGAAAGCTTTCCTAATAAAATATTTAAAAAGACAAAAAAAACCCTGGCTGGGCAGGATGGCTCACACCCATAACCCAGCACTTTTGGAGGCCCAGGCAGGTGGGTCACCTGAGGCCAGGAGTTGGAGACCAGCCTGGCCAACATGGCAAAACCCCATCTCTACTAAAAATACAAAAAGAGACAAAATTAAAAATTAAAATTAAAAAAAAGACAAAAAAAAGACAAAAAGAAATTGGCCGAGCATGCTGGTGTGTGCCTGTAATCCTAGCTAGTCGTGAGGCCGAGGCAAGAGAATCCCTTGAATCTGGAAAGTGGAGGTTGCAATGAGTTGAGACCGCACCACTGCACTCCAGCCTTGGTGAGAGTGGGATTCAAAAAAAAAAAAAGAAAGAAAACCAAACCTGTGTTTCTGAGACTAAGTGAAAGCATTAGGTAGTTATAAAGCAGTACTGATAGATTATCAAATGAATCCAGAAACACAATTATTCCAGACAACTGACATCCAAAGGATCCCAAAAACCCATGTCGGAGTGAAAAACTCATATATCTTTGGGGACTCATGCAGCTAATGCAAGTGGAACAAGCAGGACGGATGTAAAGCAAATTTCTCAGCCAAACACGTCTGGGTATTCTGTGGGCTACTTACACTTGACATTCCAGAAGCCAGAGTTCCGTGCAAATTTGTAAGGGTATTACAGAGGTCAGAGAATCCCGATAAAATAAGTCTTTTTGAAATCACTAAAGAGAGGCTGGGTGTGGTGACTCATGCCTGTAATCTCAGCACTTTGAGAGGCCGGAAGTGGGCAGATCACTTGAGGTCAGGAGTTCAAGACCAGCCTGGCCAACATAGTGAAACTCCATCTCTACTAAAATACAAAAATAGCAGAGTATGGTGATGTGCACCTGTAATCCCAGCTACTTGGGAGGCTGAGGCAGGAGAATGGCTTGAACTTGACAAGTGGAGGTTGCAAGGAACTGAGATCATGCCACTGCACTCCAGTCTGGGGGAGAGAGTGAGACCTGTGTCTCAAAAATAATGAAATCATTGGAGGAACAACCACAGGCCGGGGATGGTGTGGCTCACCTCTGTAACCCCAGCACTTGGGAGGCCAAGGCGGGTGTTTCATGAGGTCAGGAGATGAGACCATCCTAAGACCATCCTAAGTAACATAGTGAAACCTGGTCTCTCCTAAAATACAAAAAATTAGCCAGGCGTGGTGGCGCACACCTGCAGTTCCAGTTACTCGGGAGGCTGAGGCAGGGGATCACTTGAACCCAGGAAGCAGAAGTTGCAGTGAGCCGAGGCAGCACCACTGCACCCCAGCCTGGCAACAGAGGGAGACTATATCTCAAAACAAACAAAAACCCGGAGATGGGGTCTGAAGCAGAATTTAAGGTTTTGAAACTCCATGTAAGGACACCTTGCAAGCTGCTGCCCTCCATCCTAATTCATGCAGTTATTAAATACCCGTCACAAGCCAAATAAAGCACAGCTTGGGAAGAACACAGCCCCTTCCTAAATAACCAGTATTACTCTTCTGTCTCATTTTAAACAGGGTGTTCTTGCTCTGCGGCCCAGGCTGAAGGACAGTGGCAAAATCATAGCTCAATGAAGCCTCAATCTCCTACACTGAGGCAATCCTCCTGCCCCAGCATCCCAAGTAGCTAGGATTAGCCTAGTGCCACCACATAGGGCTTTTTTTTTTTTTTTTTGGTAGTGATGGGATGCCCCTGTGTCATCCAGGATGGTCTAGAGCTCCTGGACTTTGGCTATCCTTCAGCCTGGGCCTCCCAAAGTGCTGTGATTACAGGCATGAGCCACTGTGCTCAGCCTCTTATCAAATGTCCTTGAGAAAAGGAGCTGAGCCCTTTCCAATACACACTAAGGACCAGCCAAAGAACTCTTGCAATTAAACACAAGGCACGCTGGCTACAGTGTAGAAGTTTTTCGGGACACTAAGGTTGCCATTTTGCTTTCTCACAGCCTAGTTCTAAGATTTGCAGATATCAGGGGCACCTTGGGAGATCACAATAGTTGAGAGTGAACTATTAAAGGGCTCCCAACTTTTAACATTCCCCAAAATAAAGGAACATTGTGACCTGTAGCTTGACAGCCCTAGAATCTTGCCAGCATGTAAAACCACTAGTTGTGGTTAAGTTTTACTGGTAAATTTGTGAAAAAGTATCACAGGCTTAAGTGGATATTGATTCAAATGACTACAGTGGCCACACTTATCCAAGGAAGGTACATTCTAAGACACCCCAGTGGCTGCCTGAATACCAATTCCCATACAATTTTTCCTATACCTACCTGTAACTTAATTTCCAAATTAAGCACAGTAAGAGATTAACAGTATAGGTCAATTTTGACAATTATACTGTACTATATACTATATTCACACGTATAAATGTATACTGTATGTGAACAGTCTCAAAATATCTGAACTGCGGCTGACCACGTGTGGCTGAAGCTGCAGATAACAGGATCCACCGAACTCAAATTTTGTTTCTAGTTGAGAAGTCCTTCTGAAACTTGAAAATGAAAATGCTATACTCAACCTATCCAACTGTTTACTATATTCCAAATAAGAGACATTTGTCCTTTACTTCTCCACTGACCAGCTCCAAGCTTTCCAAACCGACGCTATACCATTAGAGCTAACCCCCGCTTCCCCAGTCCCTCATAATGTGAAGACAAAAGACTAGCACATTTTCTAAATCCAAGATCAATTAACATTTCTCTATAACACAAGGAGAATGACCCCAGTCCAAAAAAAATCTTTACGTTCCTTTATTGGAGCAAGATTCCTGATCGGTATACAGTGATGTATTACTAAACAGAGACCTGTGCAGAAATTACATACTATCCATCTAGATAGGTTTACACTTTTGCCTATTGATGGAATAGTTCCATTTATCAAGTTTTATACATCAAAAAGCTTTTGAATTTCACCAGACTGTCCATTAATTCACCTCTGAAAAAGTGGCATTTAATTTCAGCTACTATTATTTTACAGCATTAAAAAGCTTATGCATTAGGGTGCTTCTCTGCACAATGGCATTGAGCAGACAGAGCTGGGTCCATTATCCCACCCAGATTCACACGGTCACATTTGAGAGCTTTATACCAGAAAGCAGGGACAGTTACTGCCAACCATCACAGAATCCTTCCTCTGAGAGCCTGTCTCCTTGGCCACATTTTATACAGCCAATGAAGACATGCCAGCAACTGTCCCATGTATAACTTGGCATTAGAGCACCAGGTCTGACGGATGGTGGTGGCAGGCACTATTATTTTATATCCAGGTGAACGGCCAATTTTAAAAACTGCCACTTGGGAGATAAAAATCAAGGGCACAATATACTCAGAAAGTATTGAGCAATCTGGTATCCCAAATGATGTGAATACTTTCAGAAACCAACGGCAAATTGTACCCACATTTCCCAGCTATGGAGATAGCGATACATTGATTCAGATCCCATTACTCAATCCACATAGCCCTGAGGTCATCCTGCAAAGTGCGTATCAAAAAATACGAAGTTAGGGTGACAAAGTTTGACAGTGATGTTATACAAGTCAAACTTGGAAGGTCATAGTAAGCATACCTATGCTGAGAGAAAAGCATCAAATCCTTTGTGTACACATTTAGTTTTATTGTAACAAAGCAACTTGTACACTTTTAACGTTTAAAACTGAGCATCATCTTTCCTTTCCAGTGAAACAAAAAGAAAATTTAAAAATAAACAGGAACAAAATTACAATAGAGAATGTCAATTCCAAATAAGATCCTACAGGTTCTGCTGATTCTCCCATTGAGTGGCAGGGCTCAAGTCATCATTAGGAGAGAATTTATTTTA